TAACAGCTAATTTTTCTACTAATAATGTTGAGCCTGCTCCAAGACCTCAGATACCCACATGTGATTTTGTAGAGGGTGTTTGTAAATAATTGGGTCCTAGCAAAATTTCTGGAGCCCTGGTTAGCTACGGCTGCTAATCAAATGGTCGGCAGTTGGAATCCACCAACCACTCCTTGGAAACCCTATGGGGCAGTTCTATTTTGTCCTATAGGATCACTATAAGTCAGAATGGACTTGATGACAATGGGTTTGGTTTTTTGGGTTCTAGTAAAATTTCTAGATGTTAATGTGATTTATTTTGCCCACTACTTTTCTGAAATATTACCAAATTTTCTCCAATTTATGCAAGAAAAACAGTATTTGTCTACCGAGGGATTTCTATAAGATGGCACTTAACATACGCATCCATTAGGGTCAAATCTTTTGTTTTGAAATATTTAATTCGTCCGCCTATTGTCTCTCATGTTTTTGTAAAAATGGCTCTCAGAATTGTCTTATTTATTTTCATAGAGAATTTCTATTTTTCGTGTTTCAATTCAGTCCCAACAGGTATACTATACTTTCAAAAATAGTTTTTATGTTATTTAATATCAATAACTAATAACTTACAAGTATAATTATTCTTAGCACTTAGAGAAGGCTCTTAACGTGTAATTAAGAACAATGTCAAATAATGAATGACAATCAATTAACTGCTAATTAGATGTTGCATTTAGCACCTACTCCATCTGAAAATTTTAACTGAAAATGTACCCATGCTTATATTTCTATTTTAGCACTTAATTTTAAAGCCTACTAGAAACATCTCAAATGATGTTTTGTAATCCAGATATTTTCATTATACAAATTGTGAGGGAATTTTGAAAAGATACATGATCCTTCTGAGGAGCAAAATGACCAAGTTAAAATCCTAAATGATATTATATGATGGGAAAGAAACCCCAAAGAATATGTTACCTCCAAGAATAATTATTTTCTTGAGACAGTTTCAAGATTAGTGCTTTAGCCAAACACAAATAAAGCTATGGGCTAAAAACATAATTTACTTCAGTGTATGTGTATTAAAAATTTTCTCCTACCATATTGAGGTATAATTTATGTATAATAAACTACACATATTTAAATTGCACTATTTGAAAATTCTGACACATATATATATATAAAATGAACACTTTACTCAAGATAGTAAACATTTCCATCTCCCCCAAAAGTTTCATCGTGCCTCTTGTACAATTCTTCACTCCCTTCAACCCTGTCCCAGAAAGCAATGACCTGCTTTCTGTCAGTATGAATTAGCTGGCATTTTCTAGAATTTTATAGAAACAGAATCATGGAACAAGTACAGTGGTTTGTCTGGCTTCTTTCAGTGTGATTATTTTGAGATCCATCCAATTCGTTGCATGTATCAGAAATTTGTTATTTTTGGTACTGGGTAGTTTTCAATTAATGGATATACTATATTTTGTTTATAAACTTTTAAATGTACATTTGGGATGTTTCTAGTTTCTTACTATTGTAAATAAAGTTGCTATGAACACCCATGTACAAGTCTTTCTATGGTCACATATTTCCTTCTCTCTTGGGCAAATATCTAGTGTTGGAAGAACTTATGGTAGGTTATGTTAAACTTATTTAAAGAAAAAAAATGTCAAATGCTTTTTCCCAAGTGGTCATATCATTCTCACCCACAGTACATGAGAGGTCCAGTGGTTCCAGATCCTCCCCAACACTTGGTATGGTTAGTCTTTTTAACTTTTACCATTCTAAAAGGTATATAGTGGTATGTTATTGTGGATTTCGTTTGCATTCTTCTGGTTAATGATACTGAGCATCTTTTGTGGGTGTGTGTTTACTCTAAGGTCATGAAGTTTTTTTGTTCGTTTGTTTTTACATTTTATTCTGGATGCTTTATAGTTTTAGGTTTTATATTAATATCTATGATCCCATTTTAAGTTTTGATTGTATACGATGTGAGGAAAGGGTCATTGTCTAATCTTCCAGCTTCATGTTGAAATGACTTTCCACTCCCCATTGAATTGCTTTAGTATCTTGGTCAAAATCAATTTATCATGTGTGTGTAGGTCAATTTCTAAACCAGTAGTTCTGAATTGGGGGTATTTTGTTTTTCCAGGGAACATTTTGCAATGTGTGGAGACATTTTTATTTGCCACGACTGAGATATGGTACTGGTATCTAGTGTGTGAGTCTAAGGATGCTACTAACCACCCTACACTGAACACTGGGAGAAACATTTCTAAAATCTATCTGATAACTTGCAACCAGAATACATAAAGAAGTTTCAAATGAAATAATAATAACTAACAACCCAGTAAAAAGGGCAAAACATTTGAACAGACCATTCAGCAAAGAAGATATACGAACGGCAAATAAATGCAAGAAATGATACTCAACATTATTAGCTTTTAGGCAAATGCAAATTAGAATCACAATTCAATACCACTGAATGCCTATTAAAATTTCTAAAATTAAGATGATTAACCATACCAAGTGTTGACAAGAATGTGGAGCAACTAGAACTGTCATACATTGCTAAAAGAAGTACAAAATGGTACAAGTACTTTGGAAAAGATGTTGACAGTTTCTTAAAAGAGGTAACACACATCGATCATATGATGCAGCCATTACATTCCTGGAAATATCCCCAAGAGGAAAGGAAATACGTGTCTGTAGAAAAACTTGTATATGAAGGTTTGTAGCAGCTTTATTTCTAATAACTAAAAACTATAAACAACCCAAGTGTTCATCAACTAAACAAATTATGGTATATCCACAAATTGTGGTATGTCCGTATGATACATTATTAGTCTGCAATAAAAGCAAGAAACTATGGCCACATGCAAAAACATCAATGAAACTCGAAATAATCATGCTGAGCGAAAAAAATCAAATAAGAGTTCATGCTATATGATTCCATTTACACTACAGGACAAGCAAATGAGTGCTGACAAACAAAAAATATTTCTGATATATTTGAAATCTTTAAATTCATTATTTTGATAATTCTAGGGTTCTCTATAATGGCTTAAGCATGATGATGCCCTAGGAATCTGAAGGAGTTGATGCAATTCTCCTTAATCACTGGTTAATACATTGGATAAATCCACATACTTGTATGTGTTTTTAAATGTAAAAGTAGACATGAGAGAGCATATTTGTAATAAGCACTTAATATAATTTCAAAATATTATTAAATTACACAGGTTTTTCCAGTAATACTGGTGAGTAAGTTTATTTCCTGAGCTCAAAGCAAGAGAATTTTAAAGAGATGAAACATAAAATTCTAATAGATAAGACAGTGGGGAAAGAGAAGCATTGACCTTTGGACATAATTTACAAATCTGGAAAAGATGATGCATAGGGAAATCCATCTTTTTTTTGTTGTTGTTGTTCATATATATATACTGTTTTATTGCAGAAGGAAAAGAAAATCAATGCATTTTACAAATTTGAGGGCTGCAACAAGTTGTAGATTTTCTTTCCAGACATTCCTATGCCATGTTCCCCACAGTAAATAACCTGGACACAGCCAAGAGGTACTATTTGGGGTAAGTAGAAACAGGGATCAGATGCTATCTGCAATCACTTTAGAAAATTTTGAGAAAACAGGCATATTGCAATGATTGTTTCCACGTTGCTTAAACTCTCAGAAGGAATTCTTACAGAGCAGCGGTGCCACTGGAGACTGAATAATTAAAACATTCTGCCAAGCTTCAAGGCCTTCAGGCAAGAGGGACTCAACAGCCGACCGTGGAAGCCACAAAGGGCTGAGGGAACTGTAGGTGACTCAACTGTGTCTGGGTTGACCCCAAGGCCACAGTGACTAATACAACTTACAAAACTACCAGGATGGAAACCATCCCCTTGGGGGAGCCCAATTGACACTCTTGGCTGTGACAGCCATCTGAACTTGGAGGCTTACTTCTGAATTCAGGAGACAGCGGATGGAAGTGTGTTTTTCACCGAGGCAAGAACGTGAGCTATGCAGGCTGGCCAGCCCAGCTCGCAGAGCCGTGAGAAGGCGATGCGCGGCAAAAAGGAGCTCAGGAGTTACCTATTGCGGTCGAGTCTATCCCGACTCAAAGCAACCCTACAGGACAGAGTAGAACTGCCCCAGAGCGTTCCCAAGGATCGCGTGGTGGATTTGAACTGCCGAGCTTTTGGTTAGCAGCCGTAGCAATTAACCACTACACCACCAGGGTTTCCAACAGTAGGAACCAAAGTGGTGTAGTAATGGGATCAGCCGGAAGGGTTTCTGGAATTCAGCCTTGAACTACCCTCCCAGAAAGAAATGCTGCAGCATTGACTGTATTTTAAAATGAACCCAAACAATGCCATTCATTCCCTTGAGTTTATGAAATGCTGAGATGTGATGGGGCAGGAGTGGGGTTCAGTCCGAGGTTCGCTAGGCAACCGTTTGGCGTCCCCCTCTAGTGCTGTGCCTGTGTGTCTGGTCGTCTGGGACCGTTTGGGGGACTGTGGCTGAGTGTACGTGTGGAATGAGAAAGCTGGGAAAGGGGTGCTGCACCCAGGCGGCGGGCACGTCCTCCGACTTGGCCCTGCAGGGCAGTCCCTAAGGTCTGGGGGATATCTGGGACCTAAGGACAGCAGGTTACAAGCGCTCACCGTCCGGCCACCTGTGAGCACGGGGTCTGGCCTGTGCTGGGCGTGTGGTGTGTGTGGGGTGGAGTGGTTGGAGGAAGAGATATGGAAAAAGCTCTCAAAGAAAATAACTATTCTTTGTATTAATCTATTGAGCCAACCCATTCCCTCATCTGGGGAGAATTTGGGAGATTATTATTAAACAAACAAGATGTTAAGTGATTCCCTGAGCACCAAATTATTTAACAATCTTCTTTTACTAAGCTGGGGTTCTCTTCCAGCACTCCAGAATTACCAATACAGTCCTGCCCAACAGCCGGGGACACAGGAGGCTCTCCCAGTGTTTTGTTTTTCTCTCTTCTCCCACAGGCCGATCTGACTCACTGCCGGGGCTCGCCCTGGTCCCTCTTCACGCCCTGCGGCTGCTTACAGGTGAGCAAGAGCAGCAGGAGCAAGGGCAGGTGCCACAGGCTGCAGAAGAACAGTCTCCGGGAGCTCTTCTGGTTGGCCTGGGTGTAGAACCGGAAGCCGAGGTAGGAGATGTACAGGCTGATGCGGAGGGAGATGATGGGGAAGGTCCACGTGGTGAAGTCCAGGAGGGGGGGCCGCAGTGGACAGTCCGACGAGGGCCAGGCCGTGGCGCAGGGCCACACACCTGCACAGGGCCAGGTGCATGACGGACATCATACAGTAGCCTCCCGGGGGGTAGTCTTCCCGGAGCCCCCAGCTCAGAGCGTTGAAGTGAGGGAACTGCCAGGAGTAGAGGATTCCTCCCAAGAGGAACGTGCCAGCCTTAAGGCTGCCGGTGGCTGCCGTCCAGCCCCTAATGGGCGGGATGGCCCCAACCACGGCTCCGAACCACGTGTTGGCAAAGCTGATCCTCTTCAGTGGTGTATAACAGCAAGTATACAGGAAAATGTTGAAGGCCACCAGAGCGCCCATGAGTGGATTCACCCCCCAGGCCAGCAAGGCCACTCCTGGAACAGCACAGCAAGTGGCAAAGGACACTGCGAGCAATGGACTGATCTGCCCACGAACTAGAGGTCTGTTCTTTGTCCCATTCATGTTTGAATCAAATGGCACCTCAAAAAACTGGTTGATGGGGTTGGCGGCACAGGATGCAAGGCCCGTTCCAACGAGAGTGAGCAGTAAGCAGGGCAAGTCGAAAGGTCCTGGAGCCAAGGCAAATCCAGCTGACGTGGTACTTAACCACCAGAGCTGTGAGTTTGATTTTGGATAGTTGAGCCAAAATTCCTGGCAAATCATCCAGATGCAGCTTCATCTCTTTCCATTGTTTTTCATCTTGTGACTCTTTTCCCACTTCTGCCGAACCTTCAATTACTGAGACACAGTCTAGTTCTATCAATTCCTTTTCATTTGGCTTTCTGGACGAAGATAGGCTGGGCGGTGAAAGAGATCTCATCTCATTTATTTCTGCTTTGGCTTGACCTGAAGATGTTTTTTCAAGGACAGAAGATGCTGTTGGTTCTGGCTTAGGTTTTACTTGCTGGCTTAGGCTTCTACGCAGTTGTGTGACATACTGTCAGGAAGCGTAAGGAGAGAGTGTGCGAAGATGTGGCCATAATGCACGCGGCTGACCGCTCTCGGAATACCCGTGTCCTCTCTCCTCACCGGCTACTGGGCGCCGCCATCTTCCCTCCCCACGCCACTGCAGGGAAATCCATCTTGATAGATTTTATCCTTACAAACTCTCATTTGTGCTTGGTTGCATTGAGAAATGATTTTGGACAAAATTTCAGAGGAATAAAGCTCAATATAAATTATTATAGAGACATCTGACCTCACAAAATATAGATTGTTCTAGAGGAGAACACTTAGATGTTATCTCTTGAGGACAAAAAACCATTGGTGAAATATAACTGGACACGTAACAGTAAGTTTTCTCTGTATATCATGGTATCTAGCTTCAGTTCTTGGGTCAAGCAGAGCTGTATTCAAATCCCAGATCTGACATTCATTCATTCATTTATTCAATTTATTCAGAAAATTTATTGAGAGTACTCTATATGAAAGTGTCTAAAGGGATTAATATAGAGGCATAATAAAAAAGTCTTTGGTAAACTCATGGAGTACACTATCTAGTAGCATGTCACAGACAATAAACAATAAATATATCAAGTTGTGAAAAGTAGTAGGAAGAAAATAAAGATATTCATTATTAACATGGAAAAGACAGGAGAGAGACAGGTTAGGAAAAAAGTTGTTTTGAGACATAGATTTAGAAGTTTCTTACACTATCCAAGTGGAGATGTCAAATTGGAAGTTAGATGTATGAGTCTGTAGTTAAGAGAAGGAATAGGGGACAATGATATAAATTTCAGAATCATGTAAAACCATGGGGATAACTGAGATTTCCTAGGAATGGTGATAGATAAATGAGATCAGAGTATAATTTGAATTTTGTTGATATTTACTTATAATTTAAATAAATATTCACATTCTGTCTTAGTTATCTAGTGCTGCTATAACAGAAATACCACAAGTGGATGGCTTTAACAAACAGAAATTTATTCTTTCAGTTTAGGAGGCTAGAAATCCAAATTCAGGGTGCCAGCTCTAGGGAAAGGCTTTCTCTCTCTATCTCTTCCAGGGCAAGGTCCTTGTCATCAATCTTCCCCTGGTCAGGGAGCTTCTCAGCACAGGAACCCTGGGTCCAAAGGATGTGCTCTGCTCCTGGCACTTTTCTTGGTGGTATAAGGTCCCTCTCTCTCTCCTTGCTTCTCTGTCCTTTCATCTCTTGTAAGATAAAAGGTGATGCAGACCACACCCCAGGGAAACTCCCCTTACATCAAATCAGGGCTGTGACCTGAGTAAGAGTGTTGCATCACACCCTAATCCTCTTTAACATAACCTAATCTTTCCTTATTAACCACAGTCAGAGATTAGGATTCACAACAATAGGAAAATTATATTCGATCTCAAATTGGAGAACAACTATACAATACTTGGAATGATGGCCTAGCCAAGTTAAAACATATTTTGAGGGGACACAAATCAATCCATAACACTTTCATACCTAAATTTGTATTCATTAAAGTGAATCCCCCAAATTGTGTAAGCCTCAGGCCCCATAAACTCTAGAACCCTCTCCCACACTAATTATACTTGATTACCTGCCTCAAGGTCTCACAGTCCATTGAAGAAGATAAATAAACAAACAGGGTTTGAAAAAAGCATGACAAAAATATCAGGATAATATTGCATGTAAGAAAGGCACATAATAAAGACATCCTGGGCTAGGGAAGTTTCCTTGGCAGAGATCGTTTCTGTGCTGAATTCTCCACCTGTTTATTGCCAATTTTGTTAGATGTTAACAAATTCTGCTTTTTGGTTTTATTACAAAAATAATACAAGTTTATTGGAGGAAGTTAGAAAATACAGACAACTATACAAGAGAAAATTAAAAGTACCCACAACGTTAACACCCAAATATGAACACCGTATGGTATTCTTTCTTTCTAATTTAATCTCCCTTCTCCTCTCTCCCTATTTCTCTCATACACCCTATCTCCCACTCATGTGCACATGCACAGATCTACACACACTCTTCAACAAGAATGGGATCATACTGACTAGACAGAAATGTATCGTCTTCTTTTTACGTTTAACATTATCATGAGAAGGCTGTGTGGACCATGGTCTTGGGGAACATCTAACTCAATTGACATAACATAGTTTATAAAGAAAATGTTCTACGTTCTACCTTGGTGGGTAGTGTCTGGGGTCTTAAAAGCTTGTGAGCAGCCATCTAAGATACTCCATTGGTCTCACCCTGTCTGGAGAAAGGAAGAATGAAGAAAACCAAAGGCACAAAGGAAAGATTAGTCCAAAGGACTAATGGACAACTCCCACAACCTCCACCAGACTGAGCCCAGTACAACTAGATGGTGTCTGACTACCACCACCAACTGCTTTGACAAGGATCACAATAAAGGGTCCCAGACAGAGCTAGAAAAAATGTAGAACAAAATTCTAACTCAAAAAATAAGTCAATAAATAAAAAAGACCAGGCTTACTGGTCTGACAGAGACTGGAGAAACCCCAAGAGTATGGCCCCCGGACACCCTTTTAACTTAGTAATGAAGTCACTCCTGAGGTTCACCCTTCAGCCAAAGATTAGACAGGCCCATAAAACAAAACAAGACTAAATGGGTACACCAACCCAGGGGCAAGGACTAGAAGGCAGGAGGGGACAGGAAAGCTGGCAATGGGGAAACCTAAGGTCGAGAAGGGGAGAGTGTTGACAGGTTGTGGGGTTGGCAACCAAAGTTACAAAACAATATATGTATTAAGTATTTAATGAGAAGCTAGTTTGTTCTGTAGACCTTCATGTAGAGAACAATAAAAAAATTACCATGAGCATTTCTCCATATGAATGCTCTTCACAAGCATGATGGCTTATTTGTATTCATACATATTGATACATACTGCATTTGAACTATCTTCTCAGTGTTTATATTTTTCCCAATAATTTCTTATTATAAATAATGTTATGATGAACTTTCATGTACATAAATATTTATGTTCATCTCTCAGTTATTTCTACAAGTAAAATTACCTCCTCGATGATTTTGAATTTATTAAGTCACTTTAATTTAATATTGGTGAATTGTACTGCATAATGACCACACAAGGAGACCTGGTGGAACAGTGGTTAAGCACTTGGCTGCTAATCAAAAGGTTGGTAGTTTGAACCCACCAGCTGCTCCATGGAGAAAGATGTGGCGGTCTGCTTCAGTAAAGATTACAGCCTTGGAAGCCCTATGGGGCTGTTCTACTCTATCTTCTATGGCCACTATGAGTTGGAATCTACTTGACAGCAACAGGTTTAATGGTCCTACATACATGAGTTTTGAAGAAAAGTCAGGTTTTTAACCTTGGAAATGTATGGTAGTTGTGGTAGGTGTCTGAAGAGGAAATCGCAGCAGAGAGATAAGCACATCCAAAGTCAAACAAGGGAAATAATTTTGGGACAGGTTAGGGAACTGTACGTTGTTTGATATGTTTGGGACGTTGAGTTTGGGGTCAGTGGGAGGGTCAAAGTCTATATAGATAGCTAGTTGTTAGCTCTTGGAGATCTTACATGTCTTATTAAAGAAATTTTACTTTAGATAGTTCATTAGATTTGTATTTTAGAAAGATAACTGTAGCAACAGTTGAGAGAATGGATGGAAAATACATCTAGGAAAAGGAATGACTTAAATTAGGATCTTGATTTATTCAAACAATAGATCAGAGGCTTGGAATATGGTAGTATAGAAGATTTCATGAATAACTTACTCAAAGGCCTTTAAAATTCCTTCCTATTTCTTCATTATACAGGTATGAAAACTATTCAATTCTCCAGACTCCTTTTTAGCTGTATGGTATGATTTTCTCCAATGCGAAATAAGACAGAAAAACTTTTTATGGCTCCCAATAAAATTTTTGGCTTGTTCTAGCAAGGAGACAGGCATGCCCCTTCAGCCCTTACTCCTCATTTTTCCTGGATATAGGTGTAACACCTGAATGTCCTGAGATCACCTTGAATCCATTAGAAACCTTAAAAAAACTTATCTTTCAATTTCTTATTACATGAGTAAGCTTTCTGGTTTTTGCTTTGTTTTGTTTTGTTTCTTTTCTATTGCTTTTAATTAATCTATAGATAGCAACAATAGGGACAGCAGGATGGAAAAAATTAGGCAAATTCTAGAAATATTTAAGAAATAATATCAACAGTTTTTGTGAAGAATTAAATGTTAAAGAGAAGTGTTTCTGACAACTTAGTGAATAATGACTTCATGAAGATGGAAGACGCAAACAAAGACACATGTTTGGTGATATTAAAATTGTGTGTTTTATTTGAACAAGATGAGTTTGAGATGCCTCAGATGGAAATACAAGTAGTGATGGCCAGTTAGTAGTTGAATACATGTCTACTGTGCAGGAGAGAGACTGGCAGGAGACACACATGGCAGGTGTGTGGCGTAGAGGTCATATGTGAGGGCATGAGAGGACATAAGAGTGAGTGATAAGAATAGAAGATAAGGAGAGAACGCTGATGAGTAGACAACCAAGGGAAAAAGAAACTGAGAAAGAGTATATGGAGTGAATTTCACACAAATTAAGGAAATACAGCAGGTGTTTATTCCTTGAAGCCAAGTCAGAACAGACTTTCAAGAAATTGTGAACAATATTCAATGCTGCAGATAGACCACTTTGGTACATTCAGTTTAAGTGAACTGGAAGGAGCAGAAGTTATAATTAAAAAACGAAAGTGGCCAAGGGAGTGTAGACCATGCTCTGGTTTTCAATCCAAGGAGAAATCCAATCTGGGGAGGAAAAAAAAAAAGTGGTTGCTCATATTGGAGCAGGACTTTTTCCCTAAGAGTTTGTATTACCCTCTGTCAGAGTGGCTGGGAGAAGAAGAGGAAGTGTCTTATACAGGGTGGGTGGCAAGCAAGAAAGACTTATTGTTGCTAGTATATAAATGCCTACTCTCCTAATTTTCACAATTCGATTTTTATAAAAAATTTTCCA